TTAAGAGCTCAGCTGCTAGCAGAAAGAAAGTCGGCAGTTCAAATCCACCAGCCGCTCTTTGGAAACCCATGGGGCAGTTCTACTTTGTCCTATAGGGTCGCTATGAGTAGGAATTGACTCAATGGCAATGGGTTTGGTTTTTGGTTTTATTATCTAGTGCATAGAAATAGCGGCTGTTTCCCACCTGGTCCCACCTTCTCCCTGCCCTGGGAGCCTCGTCCTGCAGACTGCATGACCTGGCTGCCTGCCTCCTCACTGGTCTTAGCCCAGAGATGGGAGGTCTGAAATGAAGAGAATGACGGGTAATCTTCCCTGCTCTCTTCTCTCTCTGGCAGGAGCGCCCTCAGTACCACACCTCTGTGGGTAGCCCTTGCTCCATAGCTCCAGCCCTCCTTTATGCCTCACCTTTCTTTGTTCTCTTAACGCTGCCCGCACCTCTGTAAGCAGACCGGTTACACTGTTGTTATTAGTTGCTACAGTCAATTCTGACTCATGGCGAACCCATGTGTGCAGAGCAGAACTGCTCCACTGGGCTTTCAAGGCTGTGACCTTTCTGAAGCAGATCGCCAGGCCCGTCTTCTGAGGCGCCACTGGGTGGGTTCGAACTACGAACCTTTCGGTTAGTAGTCGAGTGCTTAACCGCCAGCAGTGTTTTCATCTGAACCATGTGCAGTGGACTGTTTTCAGCCAGGTCGCTGACTGACACAAATGGAGACCCAGCTGAGCAAAGCAGAAGAGGGTTTGGAGCAGTTGGGTGGGATTCTGAACCACTGGGATCACACGCCAGCTGTGTCCGGGTTCCTGCTAGATTGCTGGGCGGGGAGAGAGGCAGGGAAGATTGACTGGCTCCAATGTACCTGGGTCTACCTCAAGTGGCTCTACTTCATGGACGTGTAAGACCGAGGACAGTTCAAGGGGACCCTGCCACTGCTTTCAAGGTCGTCAATTCACAGTACCCATCAAAGGAATTAATGCACTCGAGGATAAAAGAGTTTCACTTGTGACCCAATCAAAAGTTTTTTTTTATAATGGTTTTTGTTGTTGTTTAAAAAACAACAACAACAATTTGACAAGCGGATGAAGAGATGGCACGATATGTCGTGTGAGGTCAGATTCCAGGCTTCATTTTGTTGGGAGAACTGTCCTCAGGACTTGCTCTGAGCTAGAAATCTACATAATTAGGGGAGGAAGCTGAGGATGGCTCGGTGAGGAGGCCGGAGTGGGCAATAACACTTTAGTCGTTCATATTTATACATATATATATTATATCCAAGTATGACAATCATTTGTACCATTTCCCAGGGAGACACTGATGTTTCCACAGCAAGGAAAGGGCAAGGGGGTCAGGGCGGGTCAGGCTTGGAAGGGGGCAGCTAAAGTGCAGGCTGGGGCTTGGCTCACAGAAGCTGCAGGAGCTTCAGCGTCTGTAAGAGGGCTCCGGGCTCTGCAGACGCCAGGTACTGGCAGCAGAGCCAGTCTTCCAGCTCCACCCCCCTCCTGCGGTCCACCGCCTTCTCCGCAAACTTCATCATCATCAGAGCCCGCTTCATGTCGATCCAGTTCTGCAGGGTGCCGCGCAGCACCTCCTCCGGGGAGCCCGGCTGCTCCACCAGCTCCCGCCGTGGCCCCCACAGCAAGCACTGCAGCACCCGCTTGGCCTCGCCGATGCGGATGCGCTTGATGGGGTCGGCCTCCAGCAGCAGGTGGGCGAGCTGCTGCAGGCCGGGCGAGTAGAGGGACAGGGCGGGCAGCGGGGGCAGGTCTTCCTGCCGGTAGTCCTGTTCCCGTAGCTGAGCCCGCACCTCAAACGGGTTGGGCTGGTGGAGCAGCTCGTAGATGAGGATGCCCGTCTGGAACTCATCAAACTTGCGGTACTGGGAGGCGGACACAATCTCGGGCGCCAGCCGGGCTTGGCTCTTCTTCTGCTGCAGGTTGGCCGTGCCGCCTGGCTTCTGCTTGGCCTTCAGGAAGTTGCTGATGATGAGCCGGGGCAAGTGCTTGTCCCCTGGCACTCCC